AGTTGATTAAGAACAGATCGAATGTTTAAATTGTTAATGTCACCAGCAATTATTATATTTGAATTCGGTTTAGATAACAATAGTTGTTCGCACGAGTCAATAAGGAATTCGATAAGGTCTTGCTCATTATACTCATTGTTAGGTGGGTGGTAAATAGTTGCAACAAAGAATTCAGAGTTTTGTGTAATAATTTTTGTCCATAAACATTCGAATGGATTATCCAAATCAGGTAGTAGCTGCATTCTCCAATCATTCCTGCATAAGATCGCGACACCTCCTCCTCCACAGTTTGTTCTATCCTTTCTAATGATGGAAAAATTGGGAGGACAAACGAGGGAGCTAGGTATAGTCGGTTTGAGCCATGTTTCGGTTATACAACAAACATCTATGTTATTGCACTTAATGTCTGCGCACGAAGCAGGAAAAGCATCAGGTTTTGCAATAGATCTGGCGTTCAACACTGAGCAACATGGAATTAAGCGTGGTTGACTCGGGGCAGTTTTATTCACTTGTATAGGTCTCAAAGTGCTGCAATGCCTAAGAGATTTTATATAACTGTGCTGTCTTGTGCGTGGAGTAATTCTGACGGGTATCTTATTTAGGTCGGTATCGGGTATCTTATGGGTACCATTGTTAAGGAAGGGACAAACAAACTTGGATGAATCGTAATCACCTGTCAACGCCTGGGCGGTCTTGTGTAATTCGTCATCAGGGGTGAAGGGTACTGATTTGGGTAACTCATTGGGGGCTGTATGGCTGGAGAATAGGGATTTGGATATTGTGACCATATAGGGGTTGGAATTTCCATTAAAGGATTCAGTGGGCGGAGATTTCTCCAAGGTTCTCGGTAATAATAATTCTGGTACGGCGGAAATGGGTTGGTGAATCGGTGTGATAAAAAATCAGGCGAAGCATAATTGCCTGGATAGGGCATGGGGGATGAGTTACGTATCAATTTGTCGTGGGAAAAATCACACATCTCTTTCTTCAGACAGTACCCTCTTTTATGCAGAAAAGAACATGGTATATTGCACTTCCGTGTTTCAGATGGTTTTGGGTGTTTAAAGTCGCATCGGTCGCCTTTAAAACATCTACCACGGCGTATGAGAAAAGGGCACGGGACAGAGGTTTTTATAGACGGATTGTATTTGGGTTTTTCCCTTTCGCTGTTAATTGACTGCTGCGATACCGATTTCAAGTTCGAATTTAAGCCTTTGTGTTTATTATTTTTATTCTGCTGTTTTGGGAAAAGTACGGCATCATCATTTGTAAGGTCAATGTGATTATTCTTCAAATCGTCGGCATTGCATTGGCTGTTGTCATTATGCCGAATAAGGCTATTGTCATGAGAGGTTTTTAGAGATGGATCGTATCTAATGCGGCTATTGTCATGAGAGGTTTTTGGGGACAGATCATATCTAAGTTTATTCCCTTCTATGTTGGTTGACTGCTGCGATTCGGATTGCAAGTTCGAATTTATGCCTTTGTGTGTATTATTTTCATTCTGCTGTTTTGAGGAAAACACAGCATCATCATTTGCAAGGTCAATTTGATTATTATTCAAATCATCGGCATTGCATTGTCCGTTGTTATTATGCCGAGCAAGACTATTGTCATGAGAGGTATTAAGTAATTCAGTGTTAATTGAGCTGAGGTTACTTTTGTTAGATTGTTCACTGGCATGAAAAGCGGCCGCTTTGTCAATACTTTTAGCTTTGTAAACTGATGAGCCAGGTTCTTTGTCTTTATTGACATTATAAGTTATCTTGAGAAACGACTCTTCAAGAGCCAACAGCCTTGCTTTAAGGAATTGATTCTCTTCGTTAAGAGTACAAATCACATCGTCTTGGCGTCTTATAGCGGCTTCCGATTCTTTCTGTTTAACTCTGAGCAGATCAACATCTGACTCAAGCTCATTTTTGGAAATTGCGGCAAATAATCGCGAGTCAATATCATTAAAAATGACTGTAGAGAAAGGCGAACATGGGACGAACGGCTCTCTCCTCCGCAGAGGCTTTTAAAGAATATGAAATTCGAAGGAATTGAAATTGCGCGGCTCTGCGGAGGAGAGAGGGACGAACGGCATGCGGAATGGCCTTGGACAAACCATCCCATTGGTTCAACAAAATTACATTAAGGAGATAAATGGATGGTATTGGAGAGATGTTGTGATTTTTAACCCATTGAGTCGCATTGCACCCTGATGCACCCTACTTTAGTATTTACTCTGTCTAACGCCAGACGATTTTACTCGTCAATGGGAGAGCGCTGGCGCTTAATGGGTTAATGAAACATTGAATAATGACGTGACTGTGTATTGGGGCTATAGCAAACTTCACAGAGTCTTGGGTTGACCATGCTTGTGAAGTATGTTAGCGGATGGTATATCATATGGAAGATACAATATATATAGTTGTGTTAATTGTGCTTTTTCATTTGTTTGGCCCTCCTCCTCTCCTGAGACACTCCTACGCGTCACATCTGGTTGTAAAGCATATCTAGACGAAGGGCGATTTACGTGGCGGCATAATTCAGTCCTGAACTTGACACAAACCATAGATACATGACACAAACCATAGGGCTCATGACATATCTCACGACATGGTTTGCTTTCAAGACCCTGTGAGTATATGTACATAATTTAACTGCATGTCTGCATCTATACTTAAATACTAAGGAATAAACTTATAATCGTCACACAGACTTAACCACATGTGAAATACTAAGGAATAAACTTAAAATCCTCACATAGACTTAACCACATGTGATGTACAGATTACGGAATATACACAGTGAACAACAAGGACTAAGTTTACAATATCTCACTGCATGGTCTACTTTTCAGACCCTGTGAAGATATATTTAAGAAAACCATTTACTTAAATGAGATATAGAAAACCATTTACTTAAATGAGATATACAAAATCACAAGTCTTGTTAACAATTCCTAATTTACAACATCACAGTATGGTCAAATCTGACCCTGTGATAAGTTCATGTGCATCATCAAATTACACCTATCAATTACCAAGTAATAACTTTACATACAGTAAATTTCTACAATGGAATGAGATAAAAAGACACAAAACAACGCACGCATAATACGCGTGCACCTTTTATACAATATTTCACGGCATGGTCTACTTTCAAGACCCCGTTGAAAATAAAAGAAATCCATTAGATAAATAATGATTATAAGTACACCACAGGTCCAAGACGCATATACAGGTCCTATTACCTATCCCAAAATTAAAATACAGGAAAATTACACAACACAAAATCATAAGTCTTGTTGTCAAATCCGGCCGCTAGTGCTGTGATAAATTCATGCGCATCATCAAATTACACCTATCAATTACCAAGTAATAACTTTACATACAGTAAATGCTATCTTCAGACTTCAATCACGATATTTCTACAATGGAATGACATAAAAAGACACAAAACAACGCACGCATAATACGCGTGCACCTTTTATACAATATTTCACGGCATATTCTACTTTCAAGACCCCGTTGAAAATAACAGAAATCCATTAGATAAATAATGATTATAAGTACACCACAGGTCCAAGACGCATGTAGAGGTCCTATTACATATTCCAAAATTAAAATATCGCCAATAACATGAAAGTAGACTGCAATCTCTTTAGTGTAAGCAACAAGAGCTACGAGCAAAGAAGGGAACACATATTAATTTAATATTATAAAAGGATATATCGGTATATAAATCTGCGATGTATTCCCATTGTCAAACAAATATAGGAGCGATGTTGTCACATGATACCATTGAGGTCTTCTGATTGGAGACCACCAAGACCACCACTAAATTGTCATCATCCAATCGCGTAAGACCTTCTAGGCGCTGCGACTCACCTGACCATATTGGGCGAGAAAACGTTGCCTAAACGAGGGGACAAAATCACAAAATAACCAATGACAATGTCAATGTAACTGAACACTTTAAAACCTGAATATTTAATTACGAAGTCAATTAGATCTCCCAAAACGGGCTTTTCAGATTAATTTACAAAGTTATGTAAGTAAAGATTATAAAATACAATCTATTTACATGTATAAAATTATGGTAATTGAGTATAAGTCTAAGCAAAAATGTTCAGAAAGCATATTCTGTTTCAATTGTTTTTAAAAGTGATAAAACTACTGATGTCTTTAAATTTACGATCTAAGTCGTTCCATAACTTTGTTGCACGGAATTTGAAAGTCATCTGCCCATTGTATATACCATAGACATAGTCATGAGATAGAGACTCTATTTTTGCAAATTTTAAAGGTATATAAATATATCGCATATTGTTGGGTTTCGACTTTCGTATAATATCTTGTCTTTAGTGCGCGTTGTACATTGCCTGCGCAGCAGACCGGTCCAGGTGCGCCGGAAGCAACATGAAGCGGCGGGGGAAGCCATTTAAAAGGGCTCTTACTCTTGAGCCTTAATTTTTTTTGGGGGGGGGAGCCAATGTTCCTTAACATTTTGCTGTAGAGCGGATACTTCATTACTTGTAGCTAATACAGTTAGACAAATTTCGGCATGGATTGGAACATTTTTATTCGTCGCATGACACTAAAGACTAAAATGTATTGTAAAGCAACATGACAGTTGTCAGTCAATTTTCCATAGGTGGAAACTGATTGGTAACGTTTCTGAGAGGAATTCAAATTCAAATATGAGCTAAATTGTTTAAAAACAATTCATGTAAAAAACGCACGACGTTCGAAGTGCAGTTCCGGTAAAAAAGGCAACCTGCTGCCCCCGTGCTGCTCCCGCACTGTTTAGGCAACGGGGGCAGCTGGCCGCGTTACTCCGGCGCCCCTGGACCGGTCTATGCGTAGAGTGCCGTAGACTATAACCCTCATGCAGTTATCTTGAATTATATTTCATGCAATAGAAGATGCACGCGCTCCGGAAATTGTTATCTTGCCAATCTCAAGCCAGGTAGAACAAGATGTTGGGTGTTTTTGTATGCAGCTTTGACGCTTTTTCAGAGTTTTTATATTCACTATCAGAATCGACCAGTCCTGGTAACATAAGTAAATACTAGTTATCATGAGTAAATATGTTAGTTATTTCTATAACTCGTACAGCACTGTCCTTCCACATACCAATGTAAGTTATATGTGGTTAGACGCGCGTCTAACCACCCCCATTTTATTTGCCTCATTGAATCGACTCTCTACTGGTATAGCAAGGATATTTGGAAAATTTTTAATTATCTATAAAAATTGTACAGCAGCAATCCAGACGTTAAATATGCGGGTGGCTGAAATTCTCGACGTTTCAAGCAGGTTTCAAGCAATAAAAAGGACATTTCTTCCGTCACTCGTCATTATAAAAAACTCTGAAAAAGCGTCAACGCTGCATACAAAACACCAAACACCTTGTTCTACCTGGCTTGAGATTGGCAAGATAACAATTTCTGGAGCTCGTGCATCTTCTGTTGCATGAAATACAATTCAAGATAACTGCGGAGGGTTGTTATTGTTATTAGGGTTATAGTCTACTGCACTCTACGCATAGACAGGTCTGCAGCGCAGGCAATGTACAACGCGCACTATTAAAGACAAGATATTATACGAAAGTCGAAACCCAACAATATGCGATATATTTATATACCTTTAAAATTTGCAAAAATAGAGTCTCTATCTCATGACTATGTCTATGGTATATACAATGGGCAGATGACTTTCAAATTCCGTGCAACAAAGTTATGGAACGACTTAGATCGTAAATTTAAAGACATCAGTAGTTTTATCGCTTTTAAAAACAATTGAAACAGAATATGCTTTCTGAATATTTTTGCTTAGACTTATACTCAATTACCATAATTTTATACATGTAAATAGATTGTATTTTATAATCTTTACTTACATAACTTTGTAAATTGATCTGAAAAGCCCGTTTTGGGAGATCTAATTAAATTAATAATAATAATAATAATAATAATAATAACAATGTTTGACACATTTGTTTAGCTAGGTGTGAGTGAAACTTTAACTTCGTAATTAAATATTCAGGTTTTAAAGTGTTCAGTTACATTGACATTGTCATTGGTTATATTTTGTGATTTTGTCCCTTCGTTTAGGCAACGTTTTCTCATCCAATATTGTAGCTGCGAGAATATAAATCCCACCAAAATGTAGATAATTTTATACGCTTTCTACCAATTGCGTTAAGTTTGAATATCCTTAAGTTTTGGGTTAATATACGCGTTGAAACGCGCACATAAAATCAGGCAGGTATAATTCCAACTAGAAATTATATTCTGTACGTATTCCGACGGCAATTTTGACACCCTCGTTTAGGCAGCAATTTTTCGCTCAATATTGCGGCTACGAGAATATAAATTCCACCAAAATGTAGATATTTTTCTAAGCTTTCGACAAATATGCGTTATGTTTGAATATTTGTTAGCTTTGAGTCGAAATGGGCGCATAAAACCAGACAAATTATATATTCCGACTAGAATGTGTATTCCAACGGCAATTTTGACCCTTCGTTTAGGCAACGATTTTCCCTCAATATTGCAGAGAATATAAATCCCATCAAAATGGATATATTTTCATATATGCTTAAGTTTGAATATCCTTACGTTTCGAGTTAATATACGCGGTTGAAACGCGCGCAATCCGCGTCCGCCAGTCCGCGTCCGCCAGTCCGCGTCCGCCAGTCCGTGTCCGCCAGTCCGCGTCCGCCAGTCCGCGTCCGCCAGTCCGCGTCCGCCAGTCCGCGTCCGCCAGTCCGCGTCCGGGCCGCGCCCGTCTTTTATCCACACCCGTTACGACTACACCCTAACACCCTTCCGTGCTGTTTGAGGCGCGGTCCTCTCACTGTTTAATTAACACTTTTCATTTCCGCCGTTCATTCC